AGCCAATGTGCCAAAATGCGGGTATAAACAATTTTCACACACTTTTGAAACACAAATTATATGCTTTTTTACTGCAGACAAGTTGTTGCCTCAAAACACAACAGAAATCTTCCAATCAGGGCTGCCAACTCTCCTTAGTTATGAGGTGCCATATTGAGGATAAAAAAAGTGCCAAATAGAAAAATAAAAGTGCCAAAAAAGGTGTATTTCCTTTTAATCATTCACATTTTGCAATAAAATAAAGCCACATTTTCAAAACAAAAGTGCAATGATAAAATAAGATAAACCAGTTGAATAGCCCTTATAAATTAGAAAATTTTAGTTGAGAAAAAGAAGTGCACGTAAAGGATTTCACAAAAATGTATTGAAATGTTATTTTTTTTACAAAAGTGCCCTTTTGGCAATTTGTGCCAAATTGAAAAATTAAGTGCCATTTGAAGTAAAATAGGAACAAATGGCATGGTTTGAGCCAAGTTGGCATCCCTGCTTCCAATTACTTACAAATATAAAAATGTGAAATATCGAGGGCTTGAATTCATTAATACCCTCTATCTGCAATTTGCACAAAAACTAATTTGTGATTTTAGAAACCATCTGGGACTTATTACCTGTCGTTATATAAGGTAGCATTAATATCACTGATGACAGTTAAAGCTTAGGTGGATTTTTATATCAGAGTCTCATCTTTGTGAAAAGTGTGCAGATAGGGGGTATTATAAGCCCTCGATGTTTAAAATATATAAAAATTTTATTTCAACGTATACAAAAAATAAATCTACCTGCGTTACAGCACGTCGGGAGACGCACCAGGGTGGGAAATAAAGTCAATTGACCTTATTTCCGTTGATCTTATTACCTGTCACCAAAATTTTACCTCAAAGAGGTGTTTTATTTGATATATATAATACGTGAAGGCATTTTTTGTGCAGCATAAAAGATCTGCACCGTTCGCTCGATTTTCAAAAATGAGGGGTCAAATTAAAGCGCTTGGCCTGTAGATGTGCAATAAGGTTTCACTTTTTCGAAAAGAGTTGCCACCTGTTAATAATTAATTAATTACTAATCAATGCCATCAGACCCGCACCGTCCGTTCGATTTTCGAAAGTGAGGTACCAAATTAAAGGGCTTACGGTGTGGGTGTTCAAGAACGTTTTACTTTTTCGAAAAAAGTAGCCACTGTTAAGAAATTAAGCTCAAATTAATTAAAAAGTTAAATCAAGTATCGGTATATGGGTGTCATTCAAAAGAGGTTTAAGAAGGTAGCAGTTTGAAAATATTTTGAATAGGGTTGCCACCTATTTGAGAAGTCTAATTGAATTATTTTTTATATGAAATATTAACGATGGATGTCAAATGAAAGAGCTTCAAGAAATACTTAGTTTGACAATTTAGAACATTTTTGATATGTTTGAGGGTTGCCCCAGTTCAAAGGGCTAAACTAAAATTATTTAATGAGTTAAATGAATACTAAACGATGGTTATTAATGGAAATGGGTTTAAAATCCTTTATTTAAGAACAATATTTAGGTGGATTGCCACGTGTTTAAAAATTAAATTTCCACTTAATACATCAGTTACATGAAATATTTATAACAATGTCAGACAAAAAATATTTAAGGAAATTTTAGTTCGAAAATAATTTTTAAGAGGGTTGCCGCCTGTTTTTAAAGTTGTATTTCGTTAAATTATACATAGGTTACATGAAATTTTAAAATATGGTTACCAAAAGAACGGGTGTTAAGAAATCTTGAAATTGAACATTTGGTTTTTTTTGTTGAAAATATTAAGCTCAAATTATTTAATAAGTTAAATGGATTGTCAAAAGATGGGTATCAATCGAAATGGGTTTGAAAATAGTTTATTTCTAAACTTTATTTACGAGAGTTGCCATGTGCTTAAAAAACTAAATTCAACTTAATTACATAAATGAATTATCGAAATATTAGTGTCAAACGAAAGAGTTTTATAATATTTTTAATTAGAATTGCCATCTATTTTTTTTTTTAAGTTCATCACATCTGCGGGGGTGAGACTTAAAATTTCATTTTAAGGGCCACCCTAATGTACATACATACATATGATTATGTGTGTTAATCCGGCACTGGTTATTTCACATTGAAAAATGTTACTACTACTGCAAGATATTACAATACTTCAGACGTCTTCTGAATCCCCCAAGTGAAACAAAATTAGTGCATATGAAATGTAACTCATCCTTACTAATTGCCTTACTCACTCAAACTCAAAAATGTTTGCTTTCTAAAACTTTTAGTGCAAAGTAGCTTCTATTATTTACACTTTCACTTACAGAATATGAAACCCCACAAATAAATGTGTAAGAATTTATTTCACATTGTTAGTGGTAGAAAAAGTTAAAATAAACATTATACATACAGCGCATATACGGTTATAATCCTTCTTTTGCGAGCTCACTTTTGTAAATAGGAATAAGAAAATGCTAATGCGGAAATTTCGCGCGATTAAATATTTACTTTGGCATGTGTAATACTTATACTTTTAGTTGCAACTAAATATATTTTCCGCTCACACGCGAACTTCACAAGATTTTACACATATGAAACATGCTACAATGCGCAACTCTGCATCATTAGCTCGCAAATCTCAGTTTTTGATTTCATCTAAACTTGCAAATGCTTCTTAAAGCGAAAACCTTGTAAATTTACAGCCAAAATTTGTATACTAATTGCGTAGACCTAAACGACGAATTCAGTGCGTAAAAATGAAAATGAAAAATTAAATGGCCGTCTGCATTGACCACCATATTGACACCAGGAAAACCTGGACGTGTGTCAGCCCCATGCTTGCATCACTGAGTAGTCACGTCTATGTTACTCTGCTGCGTTTTAGGGCATAGCAATATCGTAGATAACGAAATAGCCTATGAGATGCTGGGCACGGCTCGAAAATGCTGATCGGTGGGGCGGGTAACCCTCTATAACCATCGATTTATGATTTGCAGCTGTAACAAATGACCCACGCATGGTCCAACCAAGACAATTGTAAAGTTTCAAAGCTTTTGCGGCCGATGCTTAACAAGAAACGAACTGAGAAGCTTTTCGTGTAAAAAAAATTGGAAAAGGAACGATTTACGATTTCCTATGTTAAAGTTCAGTTCTCCAGACACTAGTTAGCTTGGAAGAGATAACGGAAGTGAAAGTATCGAACTTCCTCAATTTTATCAGGAAAAATAAGGCCGTAATTTAATTTGCTTCCACAAAGTGATTTTTTAATAGTACACACTTTTAGACATTTCAATTTAACTCCAATGTTACTCTATATTTGAAAACCCTCTTACAAAAATTGAGATTTGGCTTTTCCGCCGCGCCCATTTTTAATCAATAAGCAAGTATGAATGAGAAAGGAAAGGAATCACATATTTCTTATAATCAAGTAAATATATACATAGGTATGTATGTATTAGCAATAAAATGACCACCATTACATCTAGCATAAGTTATAAAAATCGCATTAATATCAATTAAATTCATTCTTTTATTTCTGTCCCAAAAGCGCTAAACACATAAAATTTTATTCGCAATTTTTGGAGTTACAGTGGCCTCTTGCATACATATGCAGGCGTGCATTTATTTCCTTTTGATAGGCAAGCGTTTTATTAGAAAGAAGTAGATCCATCCATTATTACAGCCGCGCCTTTAACCATTTTGCACCGCCTCTTAACCACAAAGCTAAATTTAAAATACTGGCAGCGACCTACTTCACTGATATCCGTTTAAGCGTATGTAGTAAACATGTATGTATGCACGTATCCGAGTCTGTACGCCAAGGATACGCTGGTGAAGTTGAACAAATAAAAATCACCATCAAAGCACATTGAGTGTTGGAGATCATCAATCATTCTGCGCACGCATGACGGCCAACATGCCAACAAGCAAACCCAGCAAGGCTATCCTCACGTGCTGCCCTCTCTCTAGTGGATGTGCGGGTGGTCTGAGCGGGTTGTGCTTCTAACGCTTCTTTTCACAGCATCCCTCAACCACTTCGGAAAGCCCATATGCTTCGATTTATGTATGTGGGTTACATTAAAAAGTATACCACTCATCGTCGCCATTGTGGCAACTCAGCGACATAAACATCCGCAAACTAATTCAATTTTTGAGCAAACACCCACACAATCATGAACTAGACATAGACGCCTACGCCGAAAGCAAATATGTGCATACCCAAAGTAGATACCCGGTGTCGGCTAGAGTGTCGACCATTTGGTTATCATCGTACAGATACACTTTTACTTTTGCCCGCGTCAGATTGAAATTTATGAGCTTGTCGTTTTACAAGAACCCATATACACATAAAGGGAAAATAAACCCCGTAGGTAAAAACATTTCTGAAGGAAATATGTGTTTCTAATGAAATGAAAATTTCTTACATTTTTCGCTGAAATAAGATATGTATTGAATTAAGCTGGGATTATGCTCCCACCGAAGGACTTCGCGATAATTTCAAACTTAAGCTAAGAAAACTAGCAGTGTTTAATGTCTGCTGCCATGTTCAATAGCTTTATATTCCTAAACATACCTAAATTTTTCGCATAGGTCAAAGTTTTCCATGTAGGATATGCACGACTTCTGCATACATCAACAAATTCCCTTACCTACTTTCCTATCTGGCCATGGTAAAATACTCGTAGAAATGCGTTACGCATATTGATTTTTGTTTTGTATGATTTTTGACATGAATTCAATTTTCCACACTGCAGTACTTGAACTCACGTTTTTGTAGGTATGTATGTATGTACTCGTACATGGTTAGATAACAAAATATGCAGAAACAAATGGGACTTCCACTAACAATATTATATTGCCTTTTATGCCTTCAATATCCATTATTGATAAAAGCTTTTTTCATGAATATAAAGGTAGGTCCTTCTATCTTGACATAAATATACATGTATACATACATAGCGATTTCCTGCTGTATGCGATTATGCTTTTTCAATTTAAATGTAGACACCCACTCACCTGACATTCAACTGGCCATCTGGGGGCCTGCTGTGAGCAATCATGATCCTTGTCTTTTGGCAGGGCGAAGAGATCACGCGGTTCTTTTAGACGGGCAATTGGTCGTAAAGTTTTTTCATCAGTGTTCACCTCCAATTGATTGGTTTTCAGGCCTTTGGAGAGAAAGTTTCCTAGAAAGCCTAGAAAAGAGAGAAAAATTGACTATTAATGGGGTTCACCGATCTTAACAAAATTAGATGGCTAAAACAACATTCCAACAACAGTGTCTGTTAAAAATCGAGTACGTACCATCCGCTAAACCACATTGACTATAGTCTATTATCGTGAATCAATCGAAACCATCGCCACCTATCGTAGACGAAGAGCTCGAGTTGCTGCGATACTTTGACTCAACTCCATTCTGGATATTATAGCAGATTAAACAGTTCAGTTCAACGTCAATAAGCCATACCGACGACATTAAAAACCTCTTTCTGTGCCTACTCACATCAACTCATCTACAATGCAAACATATCGACCCCTAATTGCGATTTTATAGTAAGCGACAAATTATCCGAAACAAGGTTTTTGTTGAAAATAAGTTACAAATAGTAGTTACAACGTCCTAAAAAATCGCAGAATTGAAATATGTACCGTTACGGAAAAATAGCAAAATGAATTTTATCGTTTGCTTTGTTTACACTTTTCCGGTCCTACAATCAAGATTACGTAAGCGACAATGCGTGTACAGAACTTTATTGTAAATAGCAGTTTGAACTGTAGTTTTAGCCAAAGTTCCATCAACACTTGCTACAACATAATCCTTCAAAATCAGCTTCTTTCACTCATCAAAATTATGTGCAATCTACCATTATGCAATTGCAGCTGCAATCACTAAGTGCATCGTGGCTCGCCTGGTGGGTCTTTTTTGAAACTCTTACTTTGCCAATGGGTTATAAGATTTAGAAGCATATCAGAAATATGAAAAACAGACACCTAACGGGGCTTATATTCCTCTTGTATGCATCTTTTGCACTTCAGCCTTCTCTTTATAAAATTGCAGTCTTTGTATTTAATCTCTAGATTAAAAGTTTTCGCTTAGCAATTTCTTTTCACAATAACTAGGTTTGAAGCACATGACGAGTCGAAAAATATAACAACTTATTTCGAAATTTGGCAAAAATCTCCTTAATATGAAGATTTTGGCGCTGAATCTATTCTGGTCAAGGATAAAGTTTTACTTTTTCTCATTCTTTAAAAAAAAAAACGTGAAAAAATTCAAAATAGTAGCGCCAATGTGTGTTATAACAACACTTTAACACTGCATCTACGAAGAAAGTTTAAAGTATGTTGAGCTTGTATGGTTTGAAAAAATAAATTGTCCTATTAGAAAGCTAGAATTCATTAATATTATTGTCCATTTAAATCAAAAAAATATTTTCACTGTTAACGGAGAATTAAAAAAAAACCGCTCCTTTAAAATATACCTTTTGTCGCTTACGATAAATTCGTAATTAGGGGTCGGTATATGTATGCCCACATGTAATTCAATCGTCTGACGTTTATGCCAACTGTAAACCAGCATAAAAAACGAACATAATACCTAATCTCCAAATAAGGTCAAAGCACGTATTACAGATAACTTCATTATTTTTGTAATTCAGCCATTTGATATGGCCTTGAAAAACCTGAATACAAACCGTATGAAAAGAAAGCAACAAAAATGCCAATTAAAAACACAGTAATGTATTTGGGTAACCCCATTTAAGATAAAAAAAACGCTGTTCAGATCCAGTTTTTCTAGTGAATGCCATTGTGAACTTTTCTGTCGCCAAATTGTGAAAGATATCTGGCTGCAAGGATATGTTACATACTTATATTTATGCATATCTATACATTAGACTGCATCAGTCTCCATACAACAAAAAAAAAAAAAAAAATCGGTACTGTTTTTCCATTGGAATTATAAAATCTATTATATTCTAGGGCATGCACCGTCATATTTCGTGGAAAAGATGAGCTTAACCAACTTGGAAGAACCTCCAAAAATTTAGTTTTTTATGAATAACAATAAAGATATTTTGAAAAAAAATCACCTCAGATGACAAAACAGTTTAGGCTTAAAAATATGCATACAACTATTTAAAAATTTTTTGAATTTGCTGTTTTTGATTTTTTTCCAAAGATTGGTTTAAGAACAACTTCAGTAACTCAGCCAAAACTATAACGACATATGAGGTATCATTGGAAAGGTATTTTCTCACACTTTTTATTTCTTTGCAAATAAACTCATTCAAAGTGTGAAAGTTGAATTAAGATGTGCTGAAATAAAGGAAAAAATTGGGGCGTGAATGAATTTTTTGCAAAGGAATAAAAAGGGTGAGAATATACTTTTCCACTGATACCTCATAAGTCTAAATCGGTGTAGTTTTGGCCCAGTTATTCAAGTTTTTCTTAAACCAATCTTTGAAAAATGCAAAAAAACAGCATCCCGTTGAAAATTGTTTTCATATTTTTATGCAGATTTTTTTAAGCTTAAACTACTTTTTCTGAGCTGAATTTTTCTAAAAATCCTTTAAGAAACAATTTTTTATTTATATTATATTTATTTTTCTGAAATATTTTGGTGGAAGTCTTCAAATATAATACATTTTTGAATCCCGGCGGAAAGCCCGAAACTTTTTTGTGATGCAGTCTAATATACATACAGTCACGCACAGAAATATTCGTAATTTAGTTTTTTCATTTAAAATATAGCTCATTCTATACCAAAGACTCTATAAATCATTCTTGAAACTGTGTACAAAATTCATAAAAATGAATCAAACTTAAAAACATTTTCATCAAAATTAAAAATTTTTTATTCAGAATTTTTAGAAAAATTTTCAGTATGCAGTTTTGTAGCCCGTTCAATTTTGGTATCATAAGGTGCAAGCTTCAAGTAGCTAAAAATTACCGTTGATTGTTTTGAATTTTTTTTTCGAGGTTGTTGCGCATTTGTTTCCATATAAGGCATGAGCAAAATTTATATGGAAGAAAATGCCGCAACACGTTTTGAATATTGTGAAAAAACTAATCTACGAATACTTCTGTGACTGTACATTAGGGTGGTCCAAAAATGCATATGAAAAAGTAAAGTCGAAATTTTTATGCTCTCACCCCCTAGGATTGTTCTATACCGAAAAAATATACCCTTATTTTTTTATTTTGAAATCAAAAAACATTTAGAGGTCGCTCAAAGCGCTCAAAGTTTTCCATGTATTTTTATATGGGGAAAAAACAACTTTTCGTAGAAATGGTATAGAATTCAATATTTTTCTATCGAAAAACTTTGCTCCTCTGCAGGAGATTCTCAGTAATAATACCCAGCTTAAGCATTCTTTCATCGCAACTATAATTTATAGGCTCACCAAAAACCCACAAAAATCCCGAAAAATGCAAAGGGAGAACCAATAAAAAATCGTTAATATTAAAAAATTGTTAAATAATCACTTAAGTATTGTTGCTGAAAGTCTCCTGAAGAGAACCAGAGCTTTGCGATCGAAAAATATTAATTTTCCACAATTGTATGCCATTTCTACGATAAGTAGTTTTTTCCCATATAAAAATACATGGAAAATTTTGATCGCTTTGAGCGACCTCTAAATATTTTTTAATTTCAAAATAAAAAAAATAGGGGTATACTTTTTTCGATATAGAACAATCCTAGGGGGTGAGAGCACTACAGTTCCGACTTTACCGTTTTTGGACCACCCTACTGTACATACTACTTATTCACAAATATACGCACATCTGACTGGGAAAATTAAAACCTTCAAAAACACTCATCATGTGCTAATTTATAGTAGAATTGTTTGACTTTACATATTTTGAAGGAAACGATGGATTCTATTGCATTTGCAATTATAACAGCGGAGTAAGAGCGCGCTATGAAAATGAATTCACAAAGATATGCGAAGCTGTCAGGTATAGTAACGATGGACGCATCTATGTCAGCTTCTGGTTGAATTGTAGAACCACATGCCATAACTCCTCCTATGCCTGAAGAACTGGTTCCCAATCCAGTTAATGTGAAAACATGCACTTTGTTAAGTCCACCACCTGTTCTGCCTTCGGCCACGCTTAGGGATTATAACCCGTACTAAGTATAATTCTCCTTTCTGTGTTGCTGGAGAAGAGGGGCTTCCGCATGTCAGAGGCATACAAAATTCCTTGTGCATGTAACTCCGGCTACGCATCACCAGTATTTTTGCGTAGAACCCACATCGAAATTTACAAAAAGTGCATAGTGAAAACGCAATTTATTAATAAACTAGTCCTCGGAGATTGAAACCTGTGTTTTAAAAAGTTTAATCCTCTGACTACACGTGTACTATATTCAGGTTTTTAGATTCGGGTGATACGTTTGGACACAACAATAGAAAAGCATTGTACAAATAACTCAACCGGACCCAAGTTTCTCGATAAGGGACAACATTCTTTTTTGTTCGTTCATATAAAGCAGTGGATTAAAATATACGTATATGCTAAACCCAAACTTATCTGTTTAAAAGAACACCGCTATTATTTCCTCCAAACACACATCGGTTTACATACATATTTTATTTATGTCGCTTCCGATACAGAATTGCTTTCGTTCGTTTTTAGGGATGCCATTGCTACGATTTTCGAAAGTTCGAAAATACGATTCGGATTGCAGCATACTGTTTTTACGATTCGTAGCAAAATCCGAATACGAAAGAGTTGCAGAATACGGTTAAAAGTCTTTACTTTAGTTTTTGTAAGTGAGATTTTTCGGTTACTAAATATTTTTTCAGAATAGGCCTGTAAGTGTACTTTTAATTTTTTCAGTTTATCATGAGAAAAACTGGCATCTATTCAAACGCTAATAGAATACGCCTTCTAACGTGATTTTTTAACTTTTGGAGAAATATACATACATATTTCCGCCGCACATTTTAGTGGGAATATGGGATTCCGTAAACATATGAACCATTTAAACTTCTAACGATTTTTTTTTTCACTTTTGGAGTCGCATAATGTTGTTAATAAAAAGCCTAGATCGAAAATAATTTCGGTTCAAGCGACGAGGAACACATACACAACAAAAAAGCCAAGTGAAAGTCTATTCAGTGACAGAGTGCAAACAGAGTGACAGAGGATTGAGCCTTTTGGTGCTTCCACATACATACATAGTAGTCTGCGGTTTTGCTTGAATGGACCGTGGTGTTTTTTTGGCACTTCAGTATGTCGCAAATGCAAACAATTACTTTTAATATTTATAAACGAGCACACAAATCGAGGAGGCTGCATGCAATAGCACACCATCGTAGATATGTGCCTGTAACAAGACTCCAAAAAATACTACATGCAATAAGAGAAAAAAGAGAAAAAAAAGAAAAAAGAGATAAAAAATGTAT